CTCAATCACACACTTTCTCTAAACTGAGTGCTTCCTAACTACATTCATACACATTCACACTCTTGACATGCAGACTGGAGCAGCATTTGAAACGTTGGCTACCATATCATTATAGTATTGCAACATGGCATTTGAGTCTTCTAACTAAAATAAGAAAATAGGAACATAAATAGTGCCATCATTGTCAGACCTGGACCACGTCTGGTTGACATACACCCTGCCATGACACCAGTCAGTCAGCAGTGCCAGCTTGATGCCGGATTCAGGCCAGACCTGTTTTCTATGAGCCTGGGCAACATACACCAAACCACAAACAATTTATTTTTTAAAAAGCTCACAGGTATTAGGACATTCAGACCAGTGATGAGTACATGCAATCTTCTTACCACAGCTGTTAGTGTATAGCAGGGCTCTCAATTTCACAAACTTGTGAAAAAAAAAGTAACCATATGCTTCTTAAAAAAATGTTCCAAACTAAATAAATCTGTTACTACAAAAAGCTAAATAAACTAATATATGTTCAATCTATAGAATGTACTATGAAATTCAATAATGTGCTGATAAGTATACATACAGAAGATTAAAGGAAATGAAAGATGCACATGATGAACAAATGACATCACCCACAGGTTTGTGGGCTGTTTTTTTTTTTAACTTAGACTTCCAGTTTTGCAATGAGAGTACAGTGTGCCAAGTTTGCAAGCTGATTAGAAAGTTGCATCCATAGAATACATGGATGCATGGCACAGATGTGCTCCAGATACCTGCTAATTAGTGCCAATAACTCTAATGAATTAGCTGAGGTGAAGCCTAGCAGACAGCTAAATACCTAGTTAGCGTGCACCTGTCGCTTAGCAGGCCACCTGAATAATGAAAATTTGTTTTATGTCTGCTTTAAATTTGGGCATATGTGCAGTCACTCATTTTGGAGCCTTCCTCAAATAGTAGGCTGAGGAACTAAAGTTTCTTGTATGTGATTGCTTGCTTTATTCGTGAACCGCAGAGGTTGCTTCACTTCACTGACAGAATTTAAAAGGACAGAGCTACTATTATTTTTTAAAATTGTAATGCTTTAGGAAAACTTTGCTTTTTCTAACAGAAAATTATAGTTTGCAACAGTTTAAAAAAAGGATTCAATAACGACATGAAATCATTTTGAATGTCTTTAAGTGCACATTATTATTTGCTATATGGACACTTTAAAAGTACATACAGTCTTGTGTGTTGCATGGCCCAGTGACCTTTACTTTCTCCCACAAGATAGTCAGTTGCAACAGTAAGCAGTTTCCTTTGGTTAGAAGCTGTAGGTGGGGATTAATGCCTTTACACTGACTGATCAGACATTGCCCGTGCCCCCAGGAGTCACCAGGGGAAGGTCTTCCAGCAAAGGAAACCCAAACTTATCCCATCAAGCAGAACACACCCAGTGTTAATGTCTTGTTTATTGTTCTCAAAGACACTGTAACACCATGTTAGATCAGGCTTAAGACACAAAGGCTGAAAATTGAATGTTTTGTTACAGCTTACATGTATGTGCACTTATTGCATGGGAAAGGGACAAACTTTACTGAGCTTTAGAGGCAGTAGGGTGTGTCCAAGATATTAATCTGTCAGCCCAAACTATGAAATACTTGATTGTCACCAACCAGTCTAAGCAAGTGATTTAATGTTTACAGGAATTTCCAGGTGATTTTGCAAGGATTTTGTCAGAATGTTAACCCTTCCCAAAAATGTCTCTTGTCCTGCTGGGACTTGCTTCTGGTCTTACAGGAAATTGAACTGTGGCTTCATTTCTAATGTATTTCAACATTTTTTTAAGGGACCATCACACTTCCACCAGCATCTTCCCACACATAGAAACAAAAAAGTAAAGAAATGTAGTAACAGAATTTGCTAACCCTTTCGTATTCTCCCAAACCTCCTGGCATGGTTTTCCCAGTTTGAGCAATAGAGTTTTGTTGTCCATGAATCATCTTGCATCAGGGTTCCTGCCACCTGTACTAATGCAAAACAAGCTGCAACAGGCTGTATTCATTCCTAGAGGTAGACTCATGCAGTCATTAAAGACAAGAACAGTGATGTGACTTGTGCACACGCTTTCAGTTAAATCCAGTCGAATTGTCTCTATTTAATTTCCTGCCTTCATTCCTGAAATATGCGGGAGACCAGAATGAACTTTCCTCCCCTAATGAGCCAAATGCTATTTGTGCTGCATGTTTTGCTAGACACCATGGTACCCTGACGAAGGGAGTGTTTTATCAACATGCTGGTCATGCTTTGTTTCATTCCCAAGACGTTACTGCCAAGACATTATTCAACCAAAAGCTGATTTGGACACAGAACTCCTCCAAGGGTTGATAACGCCTGTTTATAGTCCAAGGTGACAAGAGAGTGAAGGAAGATAATTTCTGTCTGGTTATTTAGCCTGCTTGCCTGCCTCCCTGCACACACTGTACTCATTCCACATTTGGTTATTAGTTAAGTGCTGCTTCTGATTTTAGATAAGTGAGTGAAGTTCTTGTGTAGTTATGAGTAACATTCTTTTTTTCAAACCACATCCTGGCAACTCATTAGCTAAAACTTTGCTTTTATTACCATCTTCTTCCCAGGCAGGAAAAATGCCTTGAAGACAAGTAGCCTGGTGCCCACCCCACCTTCTCTTATAATGATGATAATGCCAATTTTCCAAGAAAAAAAGCAAACCAAGATGAGTTTGAAAATATAAAATATGATATATATGGTATGTGAGGCTGATTCAGAGAGAATTGTGGGAAACTGGAGTAGATACAACAGGCAGTGTCCATATCACGACAGCGACTTCCTTTTTAAATGTTTCCTGTAAGACATGCAGGGGGGAAAACGGCTGATGATCCTCAACAGAGACCCTCTTTCCTCACATCCATTTAGTCACTGTCATGTGACAACTTCACCCAAATCTCACTACAACCCCACCCAAAAAGCACACACACACACATACACACAGTGAAGCCTCTGTAGGTGTCCGAGCAGAAATGACTCTCAAAACAGACTGAGAGAACATCAACACAGCCCCTTCAGAGGATTATTTTAAAAACAGTTGGATTTCTCACATGGGAACATGAACCTACAGCTAAAGTGTAGATCCAGACTCGTTTTTGTCTCTACTAAGACTTGCAGTTTGACATTAACTGTAATGACCCTGATGCAGGCAGTACAACAGCCCAAACATTGTTGCTGTTTTGTATGACCTTGGATGATACCACTAGTCCTAAATTACTTGTTTACATTATGGTATCTCTACTTTATGGTAAATGTGAAAACTTGTCAAACTTTCTTTGCACGTTACAGTCTAAGACTCAGTGGTACTGCTATTGATGCATTATCTTTGCATCAATGGCATAAGAAACTCTCACAGGTCACACTGCAGTATGCTTTGATGAATGCTCCCATGCAAAATTACCAGAGCAATCCTGAACAGTTTGTGTTGACAAGCAGTGCCGTGTCTGTGTTTTCTCATCCTGCAGCCTGCTGGGAAGGAGAGGTCAAGCTGATTAGATAACTGCTGTGGAGAGGATCCTGCTGGGATCATGTGAGGGGTTTAATCCCTGACACAGTGACTTTGCACCGGCGTTTGACTTTTTTTCTTATACACAACCCATGAGATTAAGCAGCATGCTTAGAAATTTTCAATAAAATGGCAAGTTGCATCAGTCACTGATACAGAAAGACAAAGGTGTGAAGCAATGTGCAAAATGTATGCTTGTAAAAATATGAGACGTTTAAATCAGGTTTAAATATGTGACTTCCTGTATGACTTCCTACATCACTGTTCTATCTGTGCTGACCTTTGCTTCGTCTATCAAGTGCTATGAAAACCTGATGGTTAGAGTGCATTAGCTAATTACACAACCTTATACAGTCACGCACAGTGACAGATCCATAACGTGCCGTTGTGGTTTTTTGACTGTTACAATGTTGCTCAGTAAGCATGTAGTCATGTGTTCATGATGACGGCCTTCTGCGTAGATACTTGTTTGTCTTCATAACATCCCAGGTTTTTAATCCTGGCCTTGACTCAGTCACATGGCCTCAAAAGCAGAGATGGGGTATGGGGCGTATAAATAAAGTGCAGTCAACTGACCTTCGAATTCAGGCTATGTCAATAAAGTTAGGGGGCTGTGTGCTGGCTGTTCTCACATGCTGTGCGTGCTCCTCGCTCATGTCTTATCATCGGTGCAGTTGCTCACAGCAAGAGTGAGCATGTGTGAAAACTATTTCACAGGCTTTGTATTTACACAAATGTGTGAGCGATTATTTGTTATGCTGCCTGGCTGGTAGAAATGTAATCTCATGTTGAACAAAGACATCCTGATTCACTGTACAAATTGCACGATTCTGTGGCAGACCTCTGGGTTGTATTATAGTCACTTTGTGCCCTTGTAGATGAGGAAAATAAAATGTTCCAAGATGATAAAATGTAATCTCTATTTAACTTTAAAAAAGCCTAAATGGCATTCGTTGAACCTCTGTTGATCCTCTTACAGTGTTTAAACATTGATCATTATGGCACACACAAGCTTTGATGTTCTTAATGCTTCTTGATACAACATTTCCTTGTATTTCTTTTACAAGTTGTTTGGTGACAAATTTTAAGAGTATGTTTTTGTCAGTTAGCAACAAAAACACTTCTTCTTTTTACCGATCTCCAAAAGACTTTCTGCTTCCACAATTGTACAACCTCTTTGCGTGCAAGACTAATCCTCGAAACATTTTTAGCAACAAGAGGTTTTGCTCTGTTTTGCTTGGTGCAGGATGCTACAACAGTTTTTAACTTTTTAGTCACCACTGGAACTGGAACTGGAAGTCCGATGTCACGACAGTTAAATGCAAATAAGCGTGTAATGTGCCAGTAACATATTTGTATATTCCGGAGCTGCCACGTTTAACAATACAAACCACAGAAATTTTAGCATTAAGAGCATGTTGTTCATTCAAATGACAAAAAGTTTCAGATGCAATCATTTGTTTTAGGTATTACATAACTTTTATTCATTGCTGTGGCATGAGTGCAGCATGAGGAACTCAGTCAGTGCATTTAAGGTCATTAAAGACATCGAGTCCAAACATGAAATACCAGCCAAACACAACAGGGCGCTTATGTGATCTATCTGTACATTAAAAAAAAAAAAAACAAGCCCTGCACATTTATAGCTTGATATACCTTTATGTTAATTAAATAGATAACAGTCTAAAGTTAGCACCACAACTTACCACGGAAATGTACAAACGCACAAGCATATGAAGCAGTCAGTTTCATAACTGTCCTGCTGTTCAGTGATCACTTTCCCTTAAACGTCATAGACGACTTTAATTGTGCTTTACATAATTACATTTCACTCCACAGGAAATGAAAATTAGAAAGTAGTAACATTAAAACCACAGTTGTGAAAAAGTTCATATGTTAATACTGCAAAACAGAGGCTGTGAAGACCAGATCCGGACATTTGCCCTGAGACTAAAACAGATAAAGCGCTCAACGAAACAAAAAAACAACAAAAAATCAGATCTGTCTTTTTTTAAATGGATGGATGAGTTTTATCTTTTACCCTGGACGTAGCGACCCCATTTTCACACTGAAGACTCACCGTGAAAGACTTTAGCTTTTAGATGACTTAGACTACACTGCAGATTGGTGGTGGATTCTGAGTGCAGAGCCTCAGAGAACTTGCTGTCATATTTACAAGTGGTCTGAGACTTCCTCTTGAAGCTATTCTGAATGGTCTCTGAGGTGAAGTAATAAACAATGGGATCAAAGCAGCAGTTGGATACAGCAATGCAGAGGGCTACTGGATAGATGGTTCGAACCACCGACTCCTCATAACAGCCTCCTAAAATTTTAGTACGGACTAGAGCATAGAAAACCAGGTTTACATTGTAGGGGATGAAACAAAAACAGAAAATAGTAAGGTGCACGATTATCATACGCAGGATCTTTTTCTTGTTCATGTTCCCACCACGGCTGATAGTTTGGGGACGGCGCAGAGTCTGTAACACCATGATGGAGCAAAATACGTTGAGTAGCAAGGGGATGAGGAAGCCTACTGTCTCTATGAAAATCACCACTTTAGAGAGGGATGATTTCCACTGCTTGGATGAGAAATTCTCAAAGCAGTAAGTGGCATTTCCTTTTTCATTTGAGGTGGTATCCAACAAGAATCCTGTGGGGATACTGCCTGAAAGCACCAGCACCCATACACCAACACATACTATTTTAGCATTGCGCTTGGTCCTGAGAGTCCTTGAGCGAAAAGGGTGCACAATGGCCAAAAACCTGTCCACGCTAATGCAGGTGAGGAAGAGTATACTGCCATACATGTTGGTGTAGAAAAGTGACACAGACAATTTACAGAGAATCCCTCCAAAAGGCCAGTTCTGGTTGATGAAATAGAAGACCCGTAGCGGCAGGGTGAAGACAAACAGAAGGTCAGACAATACCAAGTTTATCATGTAGGTTGTGGTCTCATTCCTCATTTTCAGAGAGCAGGAGAATATATAGATGGCCACAACGTTGGTGATGAGTCCAACAACAAATACAATGCTGAAGACCGTACTGTATAGTGGATATTTGAACCCATCATTCTTGATGCATGAGTTGGATATTGAAGAGTTGTTGTACATTATCATTATCAGTTTTAAGTTTGCAGGGATGGGAAGTGTTTGTTATGCAATAGCTCTTCAGGGAAAGGTATTTCCAGCACGATCAACTGACCATGAATGAATTATGAAGAAGAGAACAGTTCAGTACTGAGAGATACTCAATCCATTAGAGCAACTTTTTTTTTTTTTGTTCAACACGGCGGTGCATATTGCTGCATGTTTCCCTCCCTTTTCTGGATGTTATTTCGGGGGTTACCTCAGTTGAAAAGACCCCTCCCAGAGGACAGAGATCCAGGCTGGAGTGTCTTCCCCTCCCCCTGCCCTGTCTCTCGGCCAGACAGCACCCCACAAGTTAGAGGGTTAGCTTTACTTACTCAGATAAATCAGTCACATGAATGTGCCACCTTTTTGCTCTCAAGGTCCCAAATAATCACGAGCTGCTCAATCCACAAAGAGAGAAATGGGAAATCCACATTCAGGTCCATTAGAGAAGTGACCTCATGGCAGGATTCTTGTTCTTTGTCAAAACCCAGCCTTGTGGTTTTGTTCTTCTCAGCTCCGAATCAGTGAAGTCGTCATAAGCTTTCCATCTCCCACATGGTCATGACCACAAATGACCATGGTTCTTTCCAAGCAGAGCTCTCAGCGTGACAATTCAATGTGTTTTTGTCTTCTGTCTGCCCTCAGTTTCTCTTTCCTTTCCCTTCTTTGTTTTACTAACCTAGTTGCTCAACCAGTATCTCTCTCACTCCTCTTCATACAGCCTCGGGGTCTTTTGCTCACCACTCATCACACCACTCAGGCTCGACTACTCCTTTGTACCCGGCAGTTTTTTGCAGTTTGGGTAGAAGAGAGAGAAGCTGTAGTAACTCCTCCCACTGCCTCTGGTCCTCCTACTCCTTTGTCTGCTTTTACAGTCAACCACATAAACAGAAGTGCATCGAGAGGAAACTTAATTTAAAAAAATGAGCTCATAGTTACTCTAAAATACTGTCACAGAATTTGAAACACAGATCACTGAAATACATTTAAAAGAAAAGGTTCAAGTTTTTCTCTTGACCCGTTTTTCAGTAAAATTTTAAGCTTGTAATTGCTGAATATTTGTTTTTGTAAAAGCACATAAAAAATTTTCATCTATTGAGACAAGAAAAATAGGTAAAATATTTGCTTTCTACAAATGGGTTACATGTTTAGATAATAAAATATGTCACGCTGTACAACATAGGCTACAACATGTCTACAGCTAAAAATACTGCACTTCACCTCCTCTCATCACTACCTACTTTGAAATTGAGTTGGGATGTTGGAAACACTTTTTTTTTAGCTTAATAAGAGCTATTACTTTTGTTATTGTAACACTTTACTGCTAATATACTTTTTCATTTTAAAAAGGCTTGATTTTATTATTTTTCCCCTCATTAGTTAAGCTGTTAATAACAGCAGGAGGCCAAAAGTGCCTGAGAAGTTCTCTGAAACCCCACAGGGTCTCCACTCATCTGACAGAAAGTATGGGAAAATTCAGCTGTCTTCTTCTTGTTTGTGACGACCTGTGTGGGCAGCTAAAGCTTCTGCTGAAGAACTGATTTTTATTTTCAAAAGGACATTAGTAATGAGGACGAACAGAAAGCTCTCCTTCTGTTCAGCAGGTTTTTTTTCTCCTGCCCCTGTCACTCCATGGACACAACCTTCTCTTCTTGGGACATTCTGGCTATCCTTTTGCAGGAACTCTCTCCTTGGCAGTCAGTAAAAAACATTGGGGTATGTGTTGTGAATGAAGTAGCTTAGTACAGGGGAATGTGCAGTTTAGAACTGTTCTCAGGCACCTTAAAAGAGTTCTCAGCCCCTTGATCAGGCCTGTGGTGAGCAAATGCTATAAACCCTTTGAGTCTATTTGTGTTGGCTTCTACTGTGTCAAATAGGAAACTGAGTACCTGGTTAGTTTTCCTGCCAGTAAACAGTTGCTTGTCTGTGAGATCAAGCAACTGTTTTTCTGCCAGATGTACTCTTTGTAATTCAAAACACTCAGGCAAATACAAGATAACCTACTTCGCTCGTTACTGTTACCATAACATTTTCCTGATATTACTGACAAAAACATGACCCAGAACCCAAAGATGGTTAATTTAGACTTGAGAGCTACCAAAAATAGTCCAACAAGAGGTTGTTCTATGACTCAGCGTGCGTCTCTTTGTCAGCCTACCACAAAGCAAACATGATCAAGGCTAGAATGCAATGTGCGAGAAAATAGAAAAACCTGTACTATTGTCTTTCCCTCTCAAAGTTGTTCCATGGAGCACATAAAAACAAGCTCTTCACATGCAAGTATGTGGTCACTAAACAAAAACATGCGCCTGAAGTCCCTGGACTGTTAAATTTCTCACAATGCCAGGAAATTGTCTGGCACCCCCAAGGCCAAGTCTTCAAATAAAAGCAGTTTTATGACACGTGTTGTTGTTGTATAATGTGGTCAGGAGTAGCAATGACAACCACATGTTGTAAAAAAAAAAATTAAAAAAAATTAAATACCACTTGAATTTATTTTTTAACTGTCTATCACATCACATCACAAGCCTAAAGTCTGTGTGAATCAAAAGATAGAGACTAGGGCTCACTTCAGTGACGTTTAAATATCATTAAATTGCTGTATCATTTTAGAATACATTGAAAACAATGATCCAAATCAGAAAGCCTGGCCACGTTTTAATTCAAAGTCTTTAAAAAATATCTAAAATAACACATTTTGTAAGCCACAAAACTTTGTTTCTGAGTTCCTCAAGTTGAAAAGAGAGCAATCCAAAAGAAAATAATGTCTAATGTCTCAGCAAGAGCGCATTCTGATGAGTGGCTAGTCTGAGAGTGAAACGGCTTTCATCTAATTGTGTTCCACTCTCTCTCTGGAAACAGGGACTTTACAAACGCTGTGATGCCATCTACAAGTACGTTAAACCACAGCAGAACTGCAGTGGATATACACAAACCACTGACGCATCCCAGCACAACAAACCTGAACAAGTACACAATCATTCTGTCACATTAAAAACATATTTTTTGAAACTGTTTTAAAACCTTTTTTTCAAGACAAATGTCTTATCAGGCTAAGTGGATGATCAAAGCACGCCCAGAAAGAAGTTTCCCCAGTGCCTGCATGATGTAAGCGAAATATATGGTAATTACAACTTCATTATCATAATCGTCATCTTTTTGGGAAATTTTTTTCTTCCTACGTATGCTGAACCATGCCAGCTTTGATATTAGAATACACAGTTTGCAGTAGGTCTGTGGCAGAATGAAGGGCAGCATGCTCCCCCACGCAGCCTTATCAGCTAAAGCTTTCGTCTACTTTGTAAAACAAGTACTTCCCACCCACCAACCCCTGCCCTCACTGAAACTTACAGTGGCCTGTACTGTACTGAAAAAATAAAGTCATTGTAACCCATGTCTTTTTTTTAAAGTTAGCAGTCTTTCTAGTGCTAAATTTATAATCTCAAACCGTCAAGATTTATACATATGCAATATGCAGCAGAATATGAAGTGACAGTGAACAACTTGCATATAAAAGCGTTTGAGGCTTGATTGTTTATCAACCAACCTACAGCTCTTCATTAACCGCTACATGCTGAATCCAGCACAGTGTCACGTGCAATCACTGTATGTCCTAAATTTAACTAAACAGTGTTGCATGCAAGAAAACTGCAAGTACGAGTATTAAAGAGATTCAAAAACCAGTATTACTGGGGTCCTGACATTGTATGAACTAAGTAACACTCTCAGCAGTGCACAGAGATTTTATTTGCCATTTTCAATTTTCTGTGTTTTTATTCATTTGCAAACCTCATAGCCATCTCCCATTACTGGGAGGAAGCTGATAAAACCACAGCGTTTAATTTGGCTCATGGGTAAAAACCCCCCCAACTCTATTGCAAGCTTGAATAGAACAAGCTATTTTGCATGGCTGAATAGGTATGCAGAGTGGTGTTTGGGTTGTTTCTAGGGCAAAGGCCTGCCTGCATTTCTTTCTTTCTTTTTAAAAACAGGTTTCTCAGATGCTAAGTCACAAGACTTATCAGAAAGTGCTAGCATTCTGCTGCAGCAAGGATTTGATGTACAAAAAGTGTGTAATTTTACAACTGTGATGTAAACAAAGTGGGTAGATGAACCAACCACACAAACTGATATTGAAAAAAAGCCCTTTGACAAGTTAAAGAGCTCTATCAAACCAACAGCTTATTCCACTTACAAAATACATCACTGGAGAGACTGCTTTATTTTTTAGCCCCAAGTAGACTATAAGAGGAAAAGTAAACAAACTGTAGATTACCCTTTACTTTGAACTACTGAAAGTAAGTAGTGGAAATGATATTAAGTGCAGGCATCTACTAAGGCACAATTTTGAGGTCCTTCACTTTTTGCTTTTATATAAATCTTTTCTTTCTTCGCTTCATTCCATGTGGTATTCATCTAATCAGAGGGTCATATCATGCCAAAATAATTCAGAAATTAAAATGGCATTTAGCCTCAGTAAAGGAGGATTTGTACATGGCAGAGGGCCAGTTACTGTTAGCTGTTGCACGTCCTTCCTCATTCTGTGCAAAACCACGTTGAGTAATTGTACATGATGTACAAGTCCTTTGGAAGGTGTAAAGTTAATTCAACACAAATACACACACATGAAAAAAGAAAAGTACCTTTTAGTAATTCCACAACTTAAATGTCATGGATGGAACCTATGAGATATTGGAATTTCCATGAGTGGTTTGGCAGCAGGATCGTGACGCAAAATAATCGTCATACTGACAATCACAGTGATCCTCAAAGCCATGCGGAAATAAATTGAACATCATTTGTTCCGTGGCCACCAGGTGGGATAAAGTAACTGAACTGGAATCTCTGCCTTTCATCATAACATGTCCTCAAACACATTTTCTGTCGGGTAGAGTTGTGTCAAGATAAAAAAATCAACAAATTCTATTAAACTTGATTCTGCCAACTTGTCTGGCATCTTAATTTTGACCACATCCTGTTATTCTGTGGAAGGTATATGAAATCTCACTTGATGATATGGTACTAAAGATATACCTTCAGGAAACACGCAGGCACATGTGATGTTAGACTCTCTCTTGCAGGAAGAAGCGAAAATGAGCCTGTTCCGCTTCTTGGTGGAGATGAAGAGCCAAAGTGCACTGCATGTGCGTGTCTTAAAATGTTGATATCATAGCAGCCACTTACTGGTTAATGGCACCTGCAATGTTACAACTTTACATGAAGTAACGCATGTTTTATTTTTTAAATTCGTCACTTTCATTTCCATACATTTCACTCTCACCCTCCAAAAAACAAACAAACAAACAAACAAAACAAAAACACTACTTCATGTCAAATGTTTCTAAAGCAGTTGCATGGTAATGACATGACAAGAGCTTTTTAAGAACACCCTCAACAACATATGTTGTTATTTGTTTTAATATGTATTTATAATTGCCATTTTCCTATATTCCCATTAGTGCCAAAGTTAGCAGGTTGCAGCTAGCTTTCCACACAAATTAAAAACATTACCAAAAAGTTCCAAAAAAGAAAACAAAAACAAACAAACATTCCAATCAGCTTGTTTAAGTGATCACATTTAGTTATATCCATTTAAGCAGATTTGGGAATTCCTGATGTAATTATCTGGTAACTGCATTTAAAGACCATGAGGCCCTTTATTAGACTTGAGCTCCAACGAAGTGAGTTGGCACAACTATTTACTATCCAGAGATGCATATTAAAAAAGCAAAAATCTTGTAAAAAGGGAACAGAAGCTTGCTGCCAATATGTTAAGAATAGCAATAATTAAAAAAACAAAAACACAATTAACAAAAAAAATCTGTAAACATACAATGAAATGCAGCTGTAAAAAATCAGCTGCATCTACTGTACAGTGTACACAAGACTCAACACGTTTGTGAAAGTCACTTTGTTTCCAGCTGCATAGAGAGGGTTAGTCTGAACAACTGTACAAGTACACATGCAATAGCATGCTCTCTTTTCACTCACTGCTCCTTTTCCTATCAGTCAGCATATGGTGGGAAAAACAACTTTCTACAGCAAAAAAGTGCAAAAGTTAGTGAACACAAATGTCAGACCACAAGTTGGTATATGAAGAACTGAAGAATAACTGAAACTTTAAAAAAGTGGCAAAATATGTTATGAGAGCTTAACAAATATAATCATAAAGCAGATAAAAACAAAAACAAATGGGGGGGAAACAGGTTGCAGTTTTACATGTGTTTCCCTCATAAAATGCCTCCAAATCCAGAACATTTTAGAATGAAGGCTTCAAAGAAAAGCAGCACAATGTGAAGAGTTCATGTATAGCTGACTTGGTTAATTTTTAGATCCTGTCTATGCTGACCGCAGATAACTTACAACATACTGATTGCATTAGGAACTGTTAAAAGGGCAGCATGATAAAAACGATTCAAATACCAAATCAAACAATTCTATCACAACAGATTACGTTTAGTATGTTCAGCATTTTCAGGTATCCAGTCCAAGCTGATTACTGTGACATGTCCACGTACTGGCTGTCTTGGTAAACCTTGACCAGTGTGGCACATCCTTTTATTCAGCCTCAGCATTGTGTGCTTGTTACAGGACTAGTGGCATAAACCTGTATCTATGTTCCAACCAAGCACCGTGTTTGGGCTAGCTTCAGAACGGTAACAAAGAAGAATCACTTGGTGAGTGGGGCCTTAAACCATTTACCTCTCAGGTATTTACATCCTTAGTGCCACGTGTTTGAGGCGCTGATCTGCTGGGTGTTTACTTTGGTCTAGAATGGACTCTCGTCACTGAGATTAAACTTTAATGTGCTGAATACATCACAACAGGGGCCCAGTAGTCAGTTTTTGAAGGCCCCGTAGCGACTGGCTTTACTAATGAAGTTCTTGAGCAGGTCGTGATCCATGTCGGCAAAGGCCTGGGTCTGCGTGACAGCCGTTAGGTGGTTGACACAAAACTTGAAGCAGAATTCCTCCAGGTCCTAAAAATGAAGAGGGCTGTCTGGTCAGTGCTGAGGAGTATAACTGACTAGCTACTGTGCACGCCTCCACCACCATGGTGCTTTGACTATGTATCAGGGGCTATAAGCTTACCCGCGCCTCATACTTGACAGCAGCAGAGAGCAGAGTGATGGCGTTTTCTTCAGAAATGCCTCTCTTGATCGTTTCCTGGCACAGCCTCTTCAGTCTTGTTTCTCGGTAGAACGTGGCCAAGTCAAGCAACCCTGCACACACAAAAACAAAAACACACGTGATTGTGTTCGAGATTCTGCACTGACTTGTTGCAGCATTTCCTGGGCTGTAAAGAACTGTGATCCATGTCTATCCTTACCAATAGCGTCCTCTGGTGGCAGGTTTATAGTGTCAGTGTAGAGATACTCCAAGAAGGCTCTGTACACCAAGTATGAGAACTGATGAATTTCTATAGCATCCTGGTCAGATTCATTCAGCAGTGTTCGGAAATGCTCACACCTATCGAGAAAGACAGCAGAAGACTTGTGACAAAAGCCCGTTTAACTCAAACTAACTTAATTAATGGGCGATCACACTTTATCATGTGCAGGTGACAAAATATAGTCTTATGCCAACAGGAAACGGCATTACCAAATGAAAAAAAGGAAATTAGCAAGAAACTAAATTAAACTAAAAAAAGGAGGTTTAAAAAAAATCCACAAATTTCATACTGAACTAGAAAAAGCAGCTTCAACTTCCAATATTTTATACCATCATACATTACAATGAAAACATGTTTTTCTGTTGTAGTGGCAGTTATACTCTGCTGTTGAAATTACTTATTGATAGTTCCTTGAATTCTGCTAGAAGGGTACATGTTTAGTGCATTGCAAGTTAATGTCTTAGCGGGTGAGTCCACATGGTCACAGAATTGGTAGGCATGTGGTTACCAGCATGGAGCCTAGAATTCAGAGACTATACCATGCCTGTTAGTGTTCAACAGCATCTAATCTAAATACCCACCAGTTAAAAACAACCACAAGGGTAGACGGATAGAAGAATAGAAGAAAAATTGTTGGGTTTTTTGTGTTGTTGGGTTTGTTTGTTTTTAACAGATTCTTTTTGACTATGCCTACTAATACAGGCCAAGTGCAATACCTTTTATTCCTTATAAGCCCCTGCATTAATTACCACTAATTACCATTTATCTTTTTATTTGTTTTTTTGCTTCAATTTTCTCCACACTGCAAATCTCTGATGGCTCAAAACAGTGCCTCTACCATTGCTTCTCAGGACACGGTTGAAAAAACAACTGAATCTTCACTCTCTGGTGCATCTTAAACATATAATTTGCATGTGATCTTGCGCAAGCAGACAGTTTCCACTGTTGCATATTCGTGTGAGCCAGTGGACTAAGGTTAAAGCTGCAGACAGTCTGGCTCCTTCCTACTGACGGTGCAAAAGAGCAAGGGACTGGAATGCAGATACTCTGTGTTCAAGTGTGGTTATAAAAAGAAACACGGGAAACAATAGGCTTGTCTTTGCTACCCCGTGAGTTTAACAGGAAGATAAGGAAACACTGTTTAGCATATGAAGTTTAAATATAGGGAAACCAGCACAAATTAAGTGTTTGTTATATATATTTACACACGAAGATGGCTCATTGTTTTTGCTGCAGTGACTAAATTGGTTGTCTGGATTTTAAAAAATACACCCATGTGACCAAGATGAAAGTAGAGGTTAGAGAAGCAAACTGTGCATTCATATATATAATTTTTTTAAACAGTCAGAGTGTGGTGGCCCAACAATAGAAAGGAAGAGCTGCAGACATTGTCTCCATTCCACAGATCATTATGTGCACTCAAAGATAACGATACACTGCATGTTACACCCTTCCAGTCACACACCAGCTGCTCAAAATGCCACAAGACTGGATTAGCTTTTCCAGACTTCCATGGTTAATGAGTCTACATTGTCCTTTTAAAAAAAAAGAAAAAAATAAAGAATCACCTAAAGGACTCTGAATGTTCTTGTTTTCTGTACCTGATTTTTAGCAGAGCTTTGTGAACATGGATGCACTTCCCATCAACCAAGAACTTCAGATCAGAAATATCTGGACTGTCAAACTCCTTCTTCAAAGACTGGGCAACTGTGAGGTAATCATCACCATCTGGCAAAAAAACAACAACATAAAATTATTATTACTATTTATTTTATTTTTTGTTAAATACAAGCATTTGGTCTTGGGGTTTTTTTGCTCTTAAAAACAAACATAAATTTGCTAAACATAAATTTAAACAACTTCTCTTTACATTTCAGTTCAAAAGACAGTTCTATGAGGTATTTATATATAGGGAATGAAAAGATATTTCTTTAAGGCCACAGGTGACAATAAAATATTACCAACATTAAAAAAATGTCCACCTAAATGCTAAGTCAATATTTAAATTTAGCTCATCACATTAGCTTTCCTAACTGGAGTGTAAACAAAAAAATGAAGCTATCACAGTTACAGGTTAATGCTCTTCAGTTTGTGTTGAGTTTGTATAAACATTTGTCGCAAATGAAGTGCAAACAGAGTTTCCTGTTTATTTCTCAGACCACTTACAAAATGCCTACTGCATAATTATCTCTAACCGGACACACAAGTAAATGTCAGTGTCAAAAATGTAATAAAAAAATCCTTCAATTATTGTAAAAGTTTGACTTTTGGGATTCTTTTTCAATTTTACAAATACTCTGCAGGCTGGCTATTAAACTATGTGACCTTGGCCTGCACTTCTCTCAGTGCAAGTGGATCCTTAATTTCCTGACTGGCAAACCACAGGTGGTACATGTAAACCACAAAGTCTCATCTGCTTCCTCCTTTCCTGTACTTCCTCTACACCTACGACTGTGTGGCCACTTCGTCAAGTTCCCATAATCATCACCAATTTCGCTGACGAAAGAGCAGTAGCGGACTTGATCTCGAAACGGTGACTCTGCTTGACGGTTAGAGATCAACCACCTAAGTGACTGGTGTAGGGAGAAAAACCTTCAGCTGCAAGTTTGTAAGACCAAGGAGCTAATAGTTGACCCCACAAGGAAACAGCTGAAATGGGCGACAGAGATGGATGCCATTAAGACCACCCTTCCCACAAAAATAACGGGGAGTAACTTTTACTGTTAGGCAATCATGTTGGGTGACAATCTAATGATAAAAAAAAATTATATACAGCTGGATAGGCATATAAGTATTTCACTGTGAATTTCTGCGTGTTCGTCAAATAACTTAAAAACGTATGGTCCTATAAAACTCTTACCTACTGAGAGGAGGTGCCACGTGACTGCCGGTGTGGCAAAGCAAGCGAACACATCATCAGTGCTGCTGAAATGTGTGAGATGGGGACTGGCTACAGCCTGACCTCGACACTGACCCCACATCAGAACTTGTCCACTCTGTGTCTTGGCTGCTGACGTGTGACTGGTGTGACATGCAGCCACTTCGACTATCCTACCGAGAAAAATCACAAATCTAGATATACATTTGAACTTAAGACAGAAAAAGGCCCATATGAAAAGTGAACATTTCTCTAATAAAGTTCTTTTACAGTCAACAATCAGTCCCTTACTACTCCGTAGCATAAAACCACAAGTGTAAGAATTTGTACGAGTTTGAGACGTTTGGTTATTCTAGGGATCTGTGACCTATTATGGTAGCAAAGTACTGCTGGTAATTTACAATGGGAACAAAGTAACAAAGTACTAACCTCTCCTTGTCTGTGTTTATAGGAGTGGGGAGCGCTTGGTTACTCTTATTGCCTGTTCCCAACTGCCCGTATGAGTTGGCACCCCAAGCATAAACAAATCCCTCATCTGTCAGTGCCAACGTGTGTGCATATCCACAAGCGACCTGTGTTTGGAAAAAAAGAAAAAAGAGGGTATTTAAGATGCATGCAAACAGAAATAAGTAATCAAAAACAATATTTTGTTAGATTTATCCCTCTTTAAGCTCTTACCTGTACAATGTTTACACCCTGGAGGGCAGCGATTCGGCATGGTGTCTGCTGGTTTCCATTATTGCCCAAACCTAGCTGTCCATTGCAATTATAGCCCCAACCATAGATCTGGAAACAATGGACGATTTTGGGACATGCACATACCTCGTTATCAATAAGTGTGCGGAACATCACAGTACTTTTATTCTTGGGTTTTTTGTTAAATTAAATCTGAAATTCAGATTCTGATTTTGTGTGTAAAAACAAATGCAATACTATTTTAGGTCTTCTGACAGAGACTGAACGTTCATTTTTTTAAACTATACTGTCTCCACTCACACTCCAGGACCGTTCTTCAAGCTGTCATCATTCAGATCGAGCGTAAACACAAATTCATTTCAGACACTGTTAGAAATCCAATTTGTTTTTCTCTGCTTCATCATGGTTAACATGTATAGATGGGTGTGACCAGTTACCTCTCCGTTGTCCAGTACAGCCATAGAGCAGAGCTGTCCACAGGCTATGTTTACCACAATCTTGTTTTGCAGGCAGCTGCTGACCCGACGCGGTGTCGGCTGGTTGGCAGTAGAACCTGAACCAACTTGTCCAGAGTTGTTGTAACCCCACGCGTACACCTGAACACAAAGATGAATGCTCACCACCCAGAAAAATTCTCAGATTAAACAGAAACAAAGCAAGTAGAGGAAAATTTACCTCTCCATCAGTTGTGAGGGCAATAGTGTGGTGGGAGCCACAGGCCACTTCTGTCACTCTCTTGCTGAGGAGATTAGTGGACACCAGGGCAGGGGTCAGCCCGTGGTTGGTGGTGCCATTTCCGAGTTGGCTGTAGCCATTGTGGCCCCAGGCATACACTTCTCCATCTACACAGCAACAAGTGCAAGTTTATTGATGTTGTCACAGAAGTTAATATTTCATTAAAAGATAAGAAGCAGTCTATTTCACATGATATACTGCAAGTTAAGCAGCCATACTTTTATCAGACATCACAGATATTGATTAAATGCCTTGATTCACTTAGTTTAGTGTTGCATTGACTCAGTATAAATGAAGTACACGAGAACATATCCATAATTAACTTTTTTGCAACTTCTTTTACTGTAAATGCAGATTGAGCAAAGATTTTTCCACATGTAAATAAAAAAAAAAAAAAAAAACCAAACTGACTGGCCTCCCTCAGATGATGTGGAGTTAGTTAATCATTACCACATATTACAGGAAAACAGATACCTTTATGTTGCTTTAATCAAAGTTAAAGGTGCAATCAATTATCCAAATAAATAAGCATGCAATAATCACATTGAAAGCAACTCTCAGACATTTTAATTTAATATTCCAAACAGGAATGAGTGAAAATTGAATTTGTATTTGAAATTTAACAGTTTGAATGCATTTTTTAATCGTAATTTAAGTATGCATGCAACCACATCTCTTGGCCAAGAAGTCCACTTTGACCAAAAAGAATCACACTTAAAAAACTAGATACAATATGAAGCCAATTGTGGCACAAAATAAAAATAAAATATCAAATAAAATATGCATTTTGCATGTTTGGACTCATTTGCTTGTGATCTTATTCCTCTGCCTCCTGAAGACATTTCTCCTTGGTGACACACACAGAAAAAACGGTTTTGGAGCTACATTACCTGCAGTGGCGATAACCACATGTGGCCCCGTTCCATAGCTTAGAGACACAATCTTCTTTCCACACAAGACATCAATCCTGCGTGGCTCAATAGTGCTTTGAAGATCTCCAAGCCCTAAACAGCCGCTACAGTTAGTCCCTAAAGCAAAGACCTGCAAAGAAAAAACATTAAAAATGTCTTTTTTTAAATATATACATTTACAAATAAGAATTACTCGATCATATTTATTGTGCATTTTTTTTTATATCACAAAATGGTGAAGTTGTCTTAATCTAATCTGTCTAAGATGGCAAATTGCAAATTATGATCACCGGTACACTAAAACTAACTAACTAACTACACTTGAAACCAGGCTATAATAATTTGAGACACTGTCTTTCTAAAATTATGACTGAAAAAAAAAAACGGCAGCAAGCATGCTCATGCTGGGACTGCTGAATGTGATGTACGGCATAATTTAAAGTGAAATCCACCAAAATACAATTTAACGGTACAGTTGGCTGTTCCATAACATCAAACAAATAAGCAAGGGTGGAAAGATTAGGCATGCACTGCACCTTTCCAAAGGCTCAGGCATTAAGCTCATATGGCTAAAGATAGCCTCATTCCATCTGCTTATCCCTGTGCCTGTAACTGCACCTCATATCAAGCAGAGAGCAAGAAGGCCTGGAGCATTTTTATATCCACTTCAAAACAAGAACTACTCAAAAATCAATACAGAGAAATGAATGACTTCTATGCGTGCTTCAGGACAGCTTCACGTAAAGAAGAACAAGAAGGCAACCTTGCTTAAACTCCAAATGTTACCTCATCATTAACTGTGACATAGAGGGCTTCATTTGCAGCACTGCCAAATACACAAGCCTGCCGGATAAGCCGGAGTTCCTCAGGAGGAAGAAGTGCAAACACTGGCCACTTTCCCACGTCCAGCATACTACTCAGCTGTGAAAAAAAGAAAAAACATGGAGAAGCATATGAATCTAACTCACTATGGAATAAAGGAAAGGTGGATTAGATAAACTGAAAAACACAGATAAAAGCAGGAGTATGTTTTCATGTTAAATACTTTGATGGTCTGGTTGTTTAATTGTATTCAAATGGTTATTAAACTGGATAATAGGAACTTTCTGCCCTGTATCATGGAATGCATACATATATGTTAAAGAAAAGATTATTAAATTTCCACCTTTATCATCCCTCTTGAGTGACCAGCAGCATTCAGATTTAGATGGGCAGACAGATTAAAACGTGTACATCTGTTCTGTGACCTTTACTACCACAGAAAGTAAAGTCAAAATTATGTCATCTCTAAAGTCTAACACAATATTTCAAATATAACGGTTTCAATGATTGCACCATTACTCTCTATTATCAAACCACACAGCTGTCTATGGCTGTGTGTTAAATGGAAAACTGCAATCAACAGTAAAACCTACTCGTCTGATCTTCTGTGTATCATTATTTGTAACGCCTATAAAAGATAATTATCTTGTATTGCTAACAATATATTTCAGCTCAGTTTTTATTCACAAAAACAAACAAACACAAAAACCTGTTTTTATTGCCGCGTCTGACAAATTTACAGTGCTGTTGCATTGCCTTGCAGAAATATGAAAGTTGCACTTTGCATGAACCCAGACAACACCTCCCTAAACACACACATACACCACCATGACCACCAGCTGCTGTTGCTGCTGGTAAGATGTCCCATACGTCAAATTAGCAGATACCGAAGACAACACAAACAAGCACCGCAAAACTAAGTGTGTTGGTTTTGATATATAAACTGTCAGCAATGAAACTACTACCTGAAATTATCCCACAAAAACTATCAAGCTAATTAGCGTAAAGAGCGGTGTTGTTGCTGGTACTTCCAAGTGTTGACGTTACCTTCTAGCTAGTGCTTAGTCCGCGAGGTCGTTTTCTGATTTAAAAAAAAAGATACTAAAACATGTCACCCAACATATTTTTCAAATAACTTTGCCGGGGACGTCATGCCGACAAACTGGTGTAGGTCTAGCTTCACGTTAGCTCCTATGGTTGCACTTTGTTGTAGCTAGCTTTAATCGCTACACCACCGCCTGAAAAACATACACACACAACACCACACTTCCTGTAGTCACTTGGTGCGTTTACTGAAAATCGGATCTGGGAGCTTCAAGGTTAAATTGGTATTATACAGTAATTAGTGACATCTATTATGCAAGATTAAATAAATCCAATAGTCTTTTATTTGTGAAGTGACATTACTGGTCAATAGACCATAACGACCCAAGACTCACATGGGTTATAAGTTTAATGGAGAATATTTTTGCATGTTGTTTAAACATCTGTGGCATACATTGTATTTATTTATTTATTTAAGAAAAAAAATATTTCACCCTACTTTTCAGGAGTTGTTGATATACCAATATCAATTTTGTGTGGAACTTTAGGAAACAATTGCTGGTGTGAAACAGATGTGGGTGATACATTTCTGGCTGAGTCGTCCTGTACCATTACAACTACAGGCACAGTTTCAGTATCAATGGAGAGCTCACATATTTGACCCTAACTGACCAATCACGGTCTTTTGACCCATGAAAGGTGCATTTTGTTTAAGTTAGTACAAGCTCATGTTATTGCGTGATTTGAATTATTTTATTATCCCATCACTCTGTACTCTCAAAACACAAAGGTTCTCATAAGGACCTCCAATCTCCACTCCAAAAATGTGATTCAATTGATAAAATGAGTATTAAATGCTGCAGCTGCCTGAAAAACAAACAAACAAACAAAAAAACAAAACAAAAACAGATCATTTGAATCAGACAAGAGAGCACCTAAAACAAGAAGTCCTCGGGGAGCTGAAAACCACTGCTTTAGAATTACTGCCTCCAGAAACGATGTCCAACTGCATAATGATGCCCTTGTAAATTTGCTCCCTCTTCATTGTCCGCTTACATTTACTTCCTCATTATGTTTCTCATTACTTTGTATTATATTTTGTGTTCTGCTGCAGTCCTTGATGTTGCTTTTTCATCATGCACTTCTTCTCAAGTCTTAAAATATATGCCCCTTCATCTTCGAGTGTGTGCAGGTGTTTGCATATAACTTTGCTGAGTGTGAGCTTGTTGAGTACAGATTTGAACAACAAGTCTATGTGCATTTCTGAAATCGTATCACTGCATCCCAAGTTACATGTCTTATGTTATTACATTAACAAAAATAAATACATAAAATAAATGCACGGTGTAAAATAAAATATGTAATGTGTTCGCTGTTCACTGGTTCAGTCCCTGCAATGACACAACTATAATCTGCATATTTCACTGATTACTGCATAATCAGTCTGTCTTAAAGAGTCAAATAAATTTTTGGAAAGAGATGACTCTCCACTGCATATTTCATTGAGAACTATAGCAGACACAATGGGGCATTCCTTTATTAAGTCCAGCAGGTGGAGTCATTGATAACCATCTTGGTGTATATCAGTGGATGGGATAGCACATGTTTTTGCCAAAGATTTAAAGACCGCCTATGCAAGAACGGTGAGTGTGTACATTGTTTCAACAACATCTATATGCATATGATATATAGCATAGTGAAGTTTCGTATGTAGGTAGCTACATTAGGTTGTGTATGATACATTGTCTGTGATGTTTGTGCAATTGTCTGTCTGAGACTTAATATGCAGAAGGGACTAGCACATGAAAGAAGATTTCAGATAGATAGATACTTTTTAATTAAATCAAATTTGGAAGGCACATGAATGAAGGGAATATTACAGTTTCCAGGCAACATGAATTTCTAATAGTGTAAATTTCAAGTAGAAAACAAACCAGGGGGAAAAAAATCAATAAAACAGAACGAACACAAAACAATCAGAAAAACGATCATCTCTTTGATATATACCAATGTATATTTAAAATAAGCTTTTTTGGAGTACACAAATACTACAAAAATATCTTTGTGTTCACTCAAAACGTGTAACAAACCCAAGACTGCACGGTTTACAAGAACCAGTGATCCACACTTTCTTTCTGCTAAAAGCGATATTGTATTTCAAATTGTCTGTGTGTGTCTTGTGTAGGTTTGACATCACTTGTGCCGTTCAGTGTGTAATTTTGAAAGGGTTGTTTTTTTTCTTTCTCCATACATTCCGTATTGGCTCTCTGGCGTGTAAAATACTGCAGTTCAATCATGCTTGTTAATTTTTAGTACAACTGTGTGCTTCTGGTTACAAACCAGGTAGAAGTAGCAGTGTAGTCTTATATGGAGAACAGCAAGGTGGTCCCTGGACTGACCACGTAGCATTCTTAGATCCCCCCCACCCCCGACTGACTTGGTTGGACGAACCGGTCATAGACACGTCAACCGTAAGGTCTTTCTTAAAGTGATGGAAAAAAAAATAGGTAGGCAAATGAAGTTCATCATAACTGCACCGGATAGTGACCGGGTTCACAACAAACAAAATGAAATATAGTAACATTATTTAGCGTTTATCTTTACTATCTTGTAAATTAGGATTCGTGATGAATTGCCCGAATACGCATGCGCACTAAGTCGTGTAAGCGATGGCGACATTCCTGCTTTTTATGCGAGGAACAGGGTTGGATGGAAAGTTATCTCGATAAAACTGAGGGTTAGACAAACGTTATCGATACTTTGCATCGTCACAGTCGCTCGCTAGCTACTTCGACCGTTTTAAGGTGCTGTTAACGCGAGCCTGCGTCGTTCATGAGAAGACCGCATACTATCTTGCTAACTGTTAGCTAGGTAGCTTACGCTAGTATGTCACACTTTGCCTTGTCTTGTGTTTGTCTGGGTAGCTAGCAAGTTATCATCAGCTTCAGGTTCTGCAGAAAGTTGCTGGTCATCCAAGGTTGCTGACGTTAAACATTTCGGGGAAGAGCTGCATAAGACTCATCACTGTGCATCGGCTTGTTCAGCAAGACTGCTGCTCTGCCAACTGACTGGGTGAGTAACGTTAGCTGCGCTTTTGGTAATAAGTCTTGTTTTGCTACAGCGAACAACATTGACGATATCATTTTAAGGAAGTCGAACTAACCTGTAAGGTTATTGTTTGTCAGTACGTTGGCTACAATAAGGCTGCAGTTAGATAACTATTAGCTATGATATAACGCTAAGCACACACACCTGTAGCCAAAGTAAACAGTCTCGGGTGCGAGATAGTTAACCTTGTTAAAGGAGCTAAAAAAATACCAACCGATACTGTGACATAAAATAGGAGCTTATGCGTGTAGTTGACCGGCCAGGTAATGTTAAACGAGAGTCAACGACATTGCTACGTCAAATACTTTCAGTCAAAGGATAACCAGCTGTTACCCCGTGTGCAGATGTCTGGTACGAAAATAGTGCTACAGTTAAATTTACGCATTACAGTTGAGAAAAAAACCAGCGCTATTAAACAACGACAAGAAATATCATTACCACAATTTTGTGTGGCTGATAATTAAAATGAAAAGCTAGTTCAAATCTTCAAGGTGTTTTCCCGTTTTCTCTAAAACTGCAACTGAAAAACAGCTGGTGTGTCCTTGTCAACTGCTCTGTAGCCACAAACAAATGTGAGGCACAATCAGGGCAACAACAGATGTAACATCTGTTATCTGTTGTTATTTCGATACAGATTTCTTGCAGCGCAACTATAACAGAAGTTAAAGCTGTTTTCTAGTCGTAGGTGGTGACTACTGATAGGCTATAGTTCTGAAAGTTTCAGATAACTTTGTTAAAGAAAGAGGAGCAAAAAAGACTGAAGTATACATCTGTTCATATGTTACTGCTGTCACTGCATCTGTTTGATAATCAAAATCATAATGTTCCACTTACCACAATCAAATTTGGAAAATGTGTAATGAACTTTCAGATCATCTTTTCCCATACGAGGGGAAAAAAAAAGAAATTTTGACTTTAACTGCGTAAATGGTGGGTGGTCAGAGGAAATATAAAGAATTGCCTGTCATTAGGGATTTCCCTTAGTTGTTTCTCATTTTACTGACCTCCAGGTAGCTGTTGTCACTGTGGTGCTGGCAAGTAATTTACAACTAGAATAAAATTACCAGACAACCTACCAGCTGGTTGCAGTGATTGGCTTGGAGGCCTCAGAGCCACACAAGTCTGGCATTCATCTAAAGCCTGCTAGTGTTACAAAAATTAACCACATGGCAATCTCTCATGGCTGTATAAATGGTTCTGCAGGCCTAGTTCATTGACCATCACACTGTAAACTGACTTTGTTGTTTGGGCTTAAGGAGGGGAGGGACTAAAGCGAACAGATAAGCCAGATCACAGTGAGGTTTAGGCACGCATGCGCCAGAGAGTAATTAAGTTCAAGGACACGTTACATTTCTTTCATGCTGTTCTGTTGCTTTACACGGGAATTTTATTAACCATGTAACGATTGTATACATTTTATTTACAGTTGGGAAATCCTCAGTGTATAACTTTGGTATTTTACTCCCGTGTCAGTGGAGTGTTGAATAAAAAATATTTTTGTTTTGTTTGTTTGTTCTGTATTGTTTTGTTGTTTTCCCTAGAAATTCTCACATGGTCTAACTTTATTATGCATTTTTTGAGTGTTAGAGTTTAGTAATTAATCACTGAATGGTCAGCTTTTGGGTATATTTGTTATGCAAGGGGTTTGTGTTTGCCAGTGCAGTATACTGGAGGAGACAGATGAGAAGGGACTCTTTGAAAGAACAGATTAATGGTTTTTCTCTATGCCATCATCCACTTTCTTTCTCCTCTCTCGTAGTCACTGTGTAAACCCTTCACAGCCCTGGTCTTATCTCAATGCTGATATGTGTCACATGATAAGTCGTGTCCAAAACATTATACCACTGTACTTTCTTATCACATTGTGATGCAAATGATTTTAAATTCAATAATAGGCACATTAGGTTTGTTTTGAATTTGCCTCTTTCCTTCTTTTCTTAACTAGTTAAGGTATTTAACGTCTGAGAAAAAATGGCATGTGGCACATTTAACCACTTTTTAGTATCACTCTTATTCATTTCTGGTATTGATTCAAGTTAGCTTATGTGACGGCCTCAGAATGTACCCTGCACATTTTTTTTGCTTTGTGTTGACAAACTATGTGTTATAGTACAGATGTACCGCTTTTGCGTATATCTTGGCTTTTGGTTTGATATTTGATAAAGGTGATTGATAAACGGACTCCTATATACCAGACTTCTGCTATTACTGAGTACTCAAAGTGCTTTTATGGTGCATTCATGGATCAGTTGCATGCGTTTGTGTTACTCATGTGAATCTGGTCCCATTGGAAGCCTACAAATATTTGCCTGTTATAGCCAATGGTTCAAGGACTATTAGGGCTGCTACAAACGATTATTTTGATAGTCGACTAGTCACCGATTATTTTTGCGATTAGTTGACTAATCAGGTCATGCATCCATTGGACGTAAAACTTGCAGCTTATTGCACCAGCATGCATCTGCTCTTGTATAACTATCATTAGCTTACAGCTTTAAGTGTTTAAGCTATGTGCTAACTAAAAATAAAGACAAGATGATAGTTTATTAAATTTAAATGAAATTTGCAGATTGTTTCGGTGAAGTTTAATAAACTCAGCCGTCTGCTCCTTGCTATCTAAAATATAACAGGACACCGGAGTATATTCTTGAGCATCTCACACTTCTGATAATCAGTTGTCTGCTTGACGTTTATTCAGCTGTGTAAAAACTAACTTTAATCTCAGCCAAACCGATTTACTCAGGAACAAATAAAATACTGAAAAAAGCCAAACTATAACATTTTTAAGTTATCTAAGTGACTTGTATATCATGTTTAACCTGAGTAGCGAAAGACGGCGGTGGGTTTGAAAACGATTTGCCGGGAGTCCGGTGTTCCCACCGGCTATAGTGAGCCTTGAACCCCGGCTAGCTTTTGAGCTGGTGGGTAACAGACTTCTCCGAAAATGTTGGAGCGCTTCTGAAAATATGTGGTGTCTTGATAAACTGAGCAGTTATTTGAAGCTTAAAGAGTCATATTTACATTCTCGCCTGAAAATATGTTAAACATTTATTTTGTGACCCAGAAAGAATAATAAGAGTAATATTAAAACTAACTAGCTGCTGCCATTGTTGGAAACTGAGCAGGGCCGCGCTATGAGTTCTGGGATAGGTTGGGCCACGAAGTATACACCCGACCCATCCTTCAAATCTGGGGAAATGAAGGGCGCATTTGTCAGAGTCTTCGAATTTGGACAGTTTTTGTCGTGTCGCTGTAACGTAATCGTCCTCCAAATGCGGGCACCGGAGGATGCGGTTCCTGAATTTGGACACAGCTACAATACCGGACACAGCTTCTTCTTCGAGGTTTAACGGCAGCTGGCATCCTTGTACATGCAGTGCTGCCATCTTATGTTTCAGTCCGTTATTACACTCTTAAATCCTACTACTTATTCCTGCG